ATGTACGTGTCTTCTTTATAAGAAGAGGATTGAAGGGTTGGGGGGCAGGAGTTCAGTAGGTAGTGTTTGTTTTGCAAGCATGGGGATCCCAGTTTGATCTTCAGAACCCATGTAAAGGAACTGGGTGTGGAGGCTCTGTGTTTGTAAAATGTTGGGGGGGCTGTGGATGTCTGTAACCCCAGTGCTGTATGGGTGGGGGAAATGGGGATTACAAGATCTTGATGGACAGCCAACCTAACCAGAGCAGTGAGCTGCAAGTACAGCGAGAGAATCTATCTCAAAAAGTAATGTGGAGAGCCCTAGAGGATGACACTTGACATTGACCTGTAGCCTCTTAAAGTGCATCGGTGAATGAGCCTGTACACACACGCACAGAAACAGACACAACCACACATATACCACACACACAAACACATATACCACATACACAAACACATACATTCTGCACACATACTCACACCCAAATATATATCAGACACATATATTATACCCAAACATATATCATATACATATACTATACACATATCACACACAAACATGCACATATACCACACATAAACACACAATATACCACACATGCACTCACACACAAACATGTATCACAACATATATATACCACACACATACCATATAAACACACACAAACACACATATATCATTCACAAACACACAAACCCACATATACTACACACACACATACCACATGCAGAGACATAAACACACAAAACACATATGCCACACACATAAACACACATATACTACACACATACCACTCACACATACACACATACATATACCATACAAACACACACACATATACCATACACACAAATACAGACACACACATAGCATGCCCACACACTACAGACACATATACAACCACATGTATACCACACACACACACATAGATTACTCACACAAACATACACACACAAAGGTGGATGGTGTCTGATGAATGACACCTGAGGTTGACCTCTGGCTTCCTCATGCATATGCACACATATGCACCCCCATATGCACCTGCACATATATGCACACATGTACAAGATGTTAGAGACGCAGAAATAAGATATCTTGATAGGATTCAAGAGGATGTCATGTAACAACAGAGTCAGAGACTGGAGTAAATGTGTATGTAAGCCAAGGAATGCCATCTACCCCCAAAAGCTAGGGAGAGGCAAGAAAGTATTGTCCTTTGCTGTTTCAAGGGAACATGTTTCTTCCTGCACCTTAATCTCAAGCTTCCAGCCTCTAGGAATGTGAGACAATAAATTTTTGTTTGACTAAGTCCCCGTCTTGTTGCAGCTTGATATGATTTGATACGAGCGGCATTTCATCAACCTACAGAACATCTTGGTACAGTTAAGTACCACATAGCCACATTTTGGTGAGTAAATGTCACAGTACAAAAGTTGTGATACCCCCAAGTGATATAGGTAGCTTAGTTTGTGCAAACCTACCTTGTGATGTTTGGCCAATGGCAGTCACTTGAGGATGTTTTCTCAAGACATAGCCCAGTGATTGAGCAATGCATGAATTTAAATATGACAACCATATTTGGTAAAATCAAGAGCAAGAGGCAGGAGAGATGGCTCAGAAGTTAAGAGCACTGGATGCTTTTTTGTTGAGAACCCAGGTTCAGTTCCCAACACCCACATGATGGCTAACAAATGTTTGTAACTTCAGGTTCAGGGAATCCAACACTCTCTTCTGGGTGCTTGGGTATTGCATGCATGGGTACACTTACATGAATGCAGACAAAACACTTATGTACATAAAAATAAATATAAATAATGAATAAAATTTTAAATCAAGAACAAAATAAAAGGGGCTAAGGAGGTGGCTCAGCTGGTAAAGTGATTGCCACAAGAGTAGGATCTGAATTCCACCTGCAGCACCGGAAATAAACAGCTGGATGTGGTGGCTTGCATTTATAGTCACAGCATTGGGGAGGTCAAGGCAGGGGGACCCCTGGCCAGCTGGCCTAGCCAAATCAGCAAGATCCAGGTTTGATGAGAGATCTTGCCTAAAAAAAAAATAAGGTGGAGGGCCAGCCAGCTGGCTTATCAGCAAAGGCACTTGCCGGCAAGCCTGGGGACCTGAGTTTGATTCCTGGCACCCACATGATGGTGGAAGGAGACAACCAATTCCACAAAGTTGTCCTCTGACTTCCACAGGCACTCAGCCCCAGAAGATGGCCTCATTGCAGAGGTCAGTACTAACAAACTGTCTGGGTTAACCAAGCTTCCTCCAGGCCAGCCTCAAAGTGGCTCTTTGCACCTTGCCCTCTCACATTTGGTGATGTTCCAATTACTCATGGAAACTCAAAAAACACTTTGCTTACACTCACTGGTTTATTATAAGGGATACAACTCAGACAAGGGTAGGCGACCAATAGATAAGGGGAAGAGGGAGAAAAGTTGCATGAAATCTCAGTGCCACTTACACATGCACGACCTTCCAGGGCTTCAGAGTTCATCAGGCCAGGCTCCTAGAGCCATAACATGGTTAGTGCATATGTATGTGCTATGTGGGTTTTGTGTGTGTGTGGTATATGTATATGTGATAGATGTATATGCATGTATGTATATATGTGTGTTTTGTATATGTGTGTGGTATATGTGTATGTGTGTATTATGCATGTATTATATGTGAGTCTCTGATATACATTCATGTGTGGTATGTTTATAAGTGAATGTAGCATGTGTGGCATATACATATATGTGGTGTACATGTATGTATGTGTGTGGTATATGTTCATGGGTGGTATATGTGTGTCTCTGTAGGATATGTGAGTGCCTGTGTGTGTGGTATATGTGTATGTCTGGCATATTCTTGTCTGTATGTGGTATATGTGTGTGTGTGTGTGGTGTGTGTGTGTGTGTGGTGTGTGTTTCTGTGTGTGGTATGTGTATGTGGTATATGTTTGGTATTTGTGTGTCTGTAGGTGGTATGTGTGGATGTGTGCTTGTGTGGGTGTGTGCACACAGAGGACAGAGTCAATACCTGGTGTCTTCCTTAACCATTCCCCACCTCTTCTAGTTTCATTCTGTTGCTGTGATGACACCCTAACCAAAAGCAACTTTGGCCTGTCAGACTAAGCCTACTTTTAAGTTCCAGGCCAGTGACGGACTCTGTCTTGAAAAGTAAGATGTTTAGCTGAGGCTACTGGGATCCCCTCTGTCAAAAAACCAAAAAAAGCAAGGTGCACCACGCCTGATGAACAATAGCTGGGCTGTTCTCAGGCCACAACATGCATACATGTACATCAGCATATGTGTGTGCACTTGCACCTATATGAACACACATGCACACATACACATACACACACAAATCACCCTTTGGGTATCTTGGTAATCAGTCTCAGCTAAGACTTGCTGCTCCATCCCAAGTCACTCCATTGGCATAAACGCAACATCTGTCGAAAGAGCACAGGTTAAATAACAAAAGACACTCTTAGCCCTTAGTGACACGAAGACCAATCTTTTAATTGTGCCCCAGGAAAGAATCAAGAATGGCAGAGGGGCAGGGCCAGCACAGGTGTGTGCTGACAGCAGCCACAGTTGGTCCCCTGGGAAGCTATGGAACCCTGAATGGTCCTTCAGAGTTGCCTCATGTTGGTCCAAACACGGCTACTTCTTCGTCATTCAGCATGCATGCGAGCATTGCCAGGAATCTGAGTTTGGAGAAGGCAGTATACTGTAACAATCCAGGCCAGGAAGGGCTGACAGGTCACAGTGGCTTCCATTCAGCTGGGACAACATGCCCTTTCTTGAATAAAGATTCCCAGAGGCCTCAGGCAACATCATGGAAGACAGAGAACAGCTGTGAAATGCCATCTCTGGATAGGACTACTGCCATCATAAACCTAGCAGCTGTGGCTGCCTGCAATGGCTTGCAGAAGACTGGGCCTGTCAACAATCACCGGTAAGAGAGAGGCTCATGGGGCCTTGCCTCTTCCTACTAAACTATTGGCTATTGATCTGGGGGAGGCACAGTCGTTGTCTACAGCTGTGTCCCCGCTGGTGAGCCCACTAAGCTACAATGGATAGATCCAAACCCATGGTCATACAGATGGCCATGGCTAAATTCAGTGGGCCACAAAGCAAAATGAAAAGACACAAATGGGGGGATGGGGCTTATAAGGAGAATGGGGAGGGGTTCAGAGAGGATGGAGGACGAACTCACTATATACATGTCTGAAAATTTCAAAGAACAAGTTGAATAAAATTTATAAAAAAGCAAGATTGGTCTGAGAGGCCAATTTCAGGGTCTCTAACATAGAGGTCCACCATGCCCATCAAGGAATGGGGAAAAAGTCAAGATACTAATGGGCAAATCCCCAGTTGTCATTGACTGATGAAATATCAATTCTGTTGTGCTTCCCCCTTCAGGCTCTGCTCCCAGCAATCAGGAAGGGCTCCCAAGGAAAGGTATGCAGGGGAGCTGGATGGGAGTTGAACAGATGGGAAGAAAAAGAGATGTTATGAAGCCCCATAGGTGTGTTGGCAGTTACCCCATATGGCAACATAAATATTCTGATCTCAACAGAGGAGATGGAGAGAACACTCTCAGGGAACTGGATGTACCTCACACCTGCTCACTGTATTTTCAAATTTTGAGACAGGGTCTTACTGTGTAGCCCTGGCTGACCTAGAATTCGATATGTAGAGCAGGCTGGCTTTGAACTCACAGAAATCTACCTGATTCTGCCTCCTGAGCACCAGGATTAAAGGCGTGCACCACCATGCCCTACTGCTCACTGTATTGAATTTCGAAGGTAGACCAGAACTGAACCACTGACCCAAGGGGAACATGCAAATATCAGAAGATGCAAGCCATAGAAGGTGAGGCATCTGCCAGAGAAAACTCCCAGAGATCTTGTGTGTCTTGACACCAATGCCCACAAGCAGGTCAAAGGAACCGGCGTAAACAAGGGTGAAGTTCTGCCACCTGGAAGGGATGTTTGGGCTGTGGGGGCTGTGGAGAGAAATTGGCCATTACTTTCTAGAGCAGGAAGTTGCAGGTCTTTTGCAGATCCAGAATTTCTTGTTATCACATTTGGTGTCATTCCAACCATCATCTCTGAACTCTGCACAGTCTTCCTCCCCTAAGTTGTTGGGCTCTCCTTTATTCCAGTACTTCATGAAGCTGCAAAGACCATCAAATCTGTGAGACTCTGCCCCAGCCATTCTTTGTGTGCTGGACGGTGTCAGGTGTCAACTTGACACACCTGGGGAAAGGGAACCTCAATTTCAGAATCTCCTCTATCAGATTAGCCTCTGGGCATATCTTCGGGGCATCTTCTTGATTTGTGAGTGATGAAGGGGCATCCGACTGTGGGTGGTACCTCCCCTGGCAGATAGTCCTGGGTTCTATAAGAAAGCAGGCTGAGCACAGGCCAGGGGAGCAAACCAGTAAGCAGAGTCGGTGGTCCATGGTCGGGGCTGAGTTCCTGTCTCCAGATTCCTGTCTTGACTTCCTCACAAATCACTGTGATTACTAATAAACCATGATCAGGATGTGTGAGATAAATAAGTCCTTTCCTCCCCAACTTGTTTTTGGTCAGAGTGTTTTATCACAGCAACAGAAAGTATCTAGGATACTCTGTAAACCCTGTTTCTAGCTTCTAGAAAATTGACACTTTCATATCTACCTTGCATGTGTACGACAGACATGCCTAGTACTGGATTCCATGACATGCCTAAGTCACTTGGCTTTGACTCTTACCCCTGTAGTCTCCAAAACTTAAGAGTTGTCCCACAGAGGGTCTAGTTTATATATGCAGCCAACTAATCTAGACTCCACTCATACAGCTACCTTCCTCACTGGACTCTTGCACTCTGTCAGTACAGACCAGTCAAACAAGAACAGCATCTACACCCCAAAACACACTACATATTTCAAACGACGCATACCTAAGCCTGCTTGCTCTGTCTCACCTACCTCTTCCCTTGACACCACAGGGCTTGTTGCCCAGGTCTCCTGTTCCCTCCACATCCTGCCTTCCTCAGGTTCTTGTATCCAGTCACACCACCAGGTTATGATGTAAATTCCCTGTTTTGGGACCTGTGACTGCCACAGGTTGTATGTTCTTTTCTTTTTGTGGGAGTGTGTGTATATGTTTGTGAATGTGCATGTGCATACATGTATGGAGGTCAGAGATGTACATCTGGTGACCTGCTCAATCTTAGGGTTTTTTTTTTTTAATTTGTGAGACAGGGTCTCCCTGTAACCCTAGCTGGACTGGAATTTGCTGTGTAGACCATGCTGGCCTCCATCTCACAGAGATCTGCCTGCCTCTGCCTCTTTAGTGCTGGGATTAAAGGTGTGTGTCACCACACCTGGCCTTTCATCTCCTATCTCTGCCTCCTGTCTCTGCCGCCCCAGTGCTGAGATTACAGGTGTATACAACCATGTCCAGCTGTTTTTATGTGGGTTCTGGGATTGAACTAAGGTCTTTGTTCTAGTTTGGTTTCTGTTGCAGTGATAAAACACTCTGATCAAACAACTTGGGGAAGAGTTTATTTGTTTACATGCCCCCATCACAGTGTGATCTTCATCACTGACAGAAGCCAGGGCACGAACATGGAGGGAGGTGAAATGAAGCAGAGACTATGGAGGAACACTGCTCACTGGCTTGCTCCTCTGCCTTGTGCTCAGCCTGCTTTCTTTAATAGCACAGGACCACATACCCAGGTGATACCACCCACATTGAGCTGGGTCCTCCCACAGCATTCAACAATCAAGAAAACATTTCACAGACATGGCCACAGGTCAATTCATAGAGGAAATTCCCCAATTGAGGTTCCCTCTTTCCAGGTGTGCCAAGATGACAACTGAAATGATCCAGCACAGTCCATATGTCTGTAAGGAAGGCACTTTACAAAGTGAGCCATTTTCCAGTCTTAGGTTTCCTATTTATACATAATGTTTCCCACTCCTTTCCTGATTGCAAGTCCCTCCTTGCAGCTCTGAGGATGGAATTTCAGGCACCTGCTGTTCTAGTGAGTATGAAGACTTCCTTCCACCATTGCGTAAATGTCCCAGATTCTAATGCCCAGGGAAAGGACAGGAACCCCAAGGATACTTCAAGTCAGAGCTTTACAACCCCATCACACTCTAGAAGCTGTTCCTTACTTTGGTGTTTACCTGAGTGTCAGAGGTGAACCATCCACCCAATGCCATCTGGATTCCTTATTCATGTCAATGAGCCCCATCCAAGTGTAGCCTCTCTTCTTAGAAGTCTGCTGCAGAAAGTTCTAGAAAGGTAGAAGAGGCAGGGTCAGAAAGGAGTACTGTCTCCCTTTTCTACTCAGGGTCTCCCCAAACTCTTGGTAGGAAGTTCTGCTTGCAGTATGATCTTCAACTTTGTAGTGTATGAGACCACAAGCACCCAAGATTTCTGGATCGTCCCACATCTGCATATGACGGGAAGATGTGTTCTAACTTCTATACAGAATGTGCATGTTTTAGAATTCGTGTTTATTTGCATGAAAGTTATGAATATGTCCATGTGAGTTTTATTCATGACTGGGTTTAATTGGCTGGAGCCAGATTAAACAAGTCCATAATTACTAATGGTGTTAATGATCTCTTTTCAACTCTACAATGAAGAATGTCCCATTGTTAGCTTAAAATCAGCCAGGCAGGTTATATTTACACCAAGATATTGGCAAAGGGCACAGGCCAGGGTTTATTTATTTTATGTGTATGAGTGTTTTGCTTACATGTATGTAAGTGCACAATGCCTGAGAAGGCCAAAAAGAGGGTGTTGGATCTCCTGGAACTGGAGTTACGGATGGCTGTTAGCCACCATGTGGGTGCTGAAAATCAAACCTGGGTCCTCTGCAAGAGCAGTCATCTCTCCAACCCCAGGACTTTTTTTGTAATCTAATAAAGGAAGTTGTTAAACACTGGCCATGTATTTTAGGTTTTCCCCAAAGGAGTCACTCACTTTAAAAACTAAAGCAGTGGGACTGGGCTGGGGAGATGGTTCAGTTGGTTAAGTCCTAGCTATGCAAGCATGAGGACCTGCATTCAGTCCCCAACAACCATGTAAAAAAAGACAGGTATCATGGTTCATGCTTATAATCCCAGTACTGGGGAGGCAGAGATAGGAGGCAGGCTCACTGGTTACACAGCCTATCCTAAGGAGTGAGTTCCAGATTCAATGAAAGACTCCGCCTCACAGAACAAGTAGACATCACCTGAAGCATGACACTCAAGGCTGATATTTGGCCTCCACATGCACATAACGTATGCACGTACACCTGTGTCCACATGTTCAATTCCCCAAGTACACACACACACACACACACACACACACACACACACAGAGTCATCATATCATCATACACACACAGTATCTACTGTGTCTTTGTGTGTGTGTATGTGTGTGTGTGTGTGTGTGTGTGTGTGTGTGTGTGTATGTGTGGTGTCAGAGGACAACTTCTGGTGTGGATCCTTCTTCCACTTTGTTAGAGGTACGGTCTCTTTTTAAAAGTAATTAATTAATTGATGCATTTATTTTATTTTTTATATGCTTGAGTGTTTTGCCTGCATGTATGTATGTGTACCTGTACAGCAGTGCCTGAGGAGGCCAGAAGACAGTGTTGGATTCTGGAGCTACAGATGATTGTGAGCTACCATGTAGGTGCTGGGAACCAAACCTAGGTCCTCTGTAAGAGCAGCCAGTGCTCTTAACTGCTGAGACATCTCTCCAGCCCTGAGACATGGTCTCTTGTTGTTCATCACTGTGTACACCAGGCTAGCTGCCCCTGAACTTCTGGGGATTTTCCTGTACACCCCCCATCTTACCTTAGGGGCATTGAGATGACAGACCTATGTTACCAATAATACTGGGATTCATGTGGGTTCTGAGGATTCCAAACTCAGGTCCTCATGCTTGAGCCTTCTCTCTATCCCTAGACTTTGTTTTTCTTGCAAAGTTCTTGTACCTTCTCATTCATTCCTTACTGTCTTCCCTTTCCACATGGAGTAAGCAGCCCCATTTCCAGAAAACCATGTCTGAAATGATTCCCCTCTCCATTTAGCCAGTGGCCAGATGCACACCACAGATGAGGAAAGATCCCACCAGGCATACCTGCTCTTCATGGCTTTTGATGACCACTAGTTGGGACCCCACTTTCTGGCAGGCAGTGACAGAATCACTCCAGCTCTTCTGGATCATGGAGAAGAAGTAACAGTTTTTTTCAAAATATGTCCAGTCCCAGGCGCAGGGGCGGCACAGGCGATCTGTTAGGGGAGGTTGTCAGGAAGGACTTACACTAGGATGCCCATGTTCCTTGCCTGCTCAGCCTTCAAGCCCTGCAGAGTCATGGTCTTTCCTTGACACAGCACCCTGGGGAGTCAGGCTCCCCTGTCCATGGCCAGAAGTCCTTCCTCACTTCAGGAGAACCAGGGGTCCTGGACCCATCTCTTCCAGACTGGGAGAAGTAGGACAGCGCTCAGAAGAAGAGGCCAGGAGACTGGCTTAATTAAATGCATACTGTGAGCACAATTCCTGTGAACACTGAATGCTTATCCCTTGTGAACACTGAGTTACTGTTGTGTGCACAACTCCTGTGAACATTGAGAGCCTATTGTGTCCATGGACCCTAGTCAACACCAATGAGGTGTCTTCCTTAATGTGATCCTGTAACCCTATTCCACAGATGAGAAAATGGAAGTCCAATGAAGAACAATTATTTAATAAAATCACCCTTGATGGAAATCTTGTAAATTCTTTATATCTAGTCACTTACCTACCCCAGCCTTCAACTGGGTCAGCTCCTGGTAGACCTTCTCCTCCTTGGATTGTGCCAGCCCCTGGGAGCTGGGAATCTTGGAGACTGGGCAAAGAAAAAAGAGTAATTACAATTATTAAATGCTTACCATGTTTCTTGGCCTACTCTGGGATCCCAGGACAGCCTTCCTTCTTCCTTCCTTCCTTCCTTCCTTCCTTCCTTCCTTCCTTCCTTCCTTCCTTCCTTTCCTTCCTTTCTTTCCTTCCCTCCCTCCTTCCCCTTTCTTTCTTTCTTTCTTTCTTTCTTTCTTTCCTTTCCTTCTTTCTTTCTTTCTTTCTTTCTTTCCTTTCCTTCTTTCTTTCTTTCTTTCTTTCTTTCCTTTCCTTCTTTCTTTCTTTCTTTCTTTCTTTCCTTTCCTTCTTTCTTTCTTTCTTTCTTTCTTTCCTTTCCTTCTTTCTTTCTTTCTTTCTTTCTTTCCTTTCCTTCTTTCTTTCTTTCTTTCTTTCTTTCCTTTCCTTCTTTCTTTCTTTCTTTCTTTCTTTCCTTTCCTTCTTTCTTTCTTTCTTTCTTTCTTTCCTTTCCTTCTTTCTTTCTTTCTTTCTTTCTTTCCTTTCCTTCTTTCTTTCTTTCTTTCTTTCTTTCCTTTCCTTCTTTCTTTCTTTCTTTCTTTCTTTCCTTTCCTTCTTTCTTTCTTTCTTTCTTTCTTTCCTTTCCTTCTTTCTTTCTTTCTTTCTTTCTTTCCTTTCCTTCTTTCTTTCTTTCTTTCTTTCTTTCCTTTCCTTCTTTCTTTCTTTCTTTCTTTCTTTCCTTTCCTTCTTTCTTTCTTTCTTTCTTTCTTTCCTTTCCTTCTTTCTTTCTTTCTTTCTTTCTTTCCTTTCCTTCTTTCTTTCTTTCTTTCTTTCTTTCCTTTCCTTCTTTCTTTCTTTCTTTCTTTCTTTCCTTTCCTTCTTTCTTTCTTTCTTTCTTTCTTTCCTTTCCTTCTTTCTTTCTTTCTTTCTTTCTTTCCTTTCCTTCTTTCTTTCTTTCTTTCTTTCTTTCCTTTCCTTCTTTCTTTCTTTCTTTCTTTCTTTCTTTCTTTCTTTCCTTTCCTTCTTTCTTTCTTTCTTCTTTCTTTCTTCACAGTGTCTCATAACCCAGGCTGACCTTGAACTCACTATGTAGCTAAGGACAACCTTGAACATCTGATCCTCCTGCCTATACCTCCTACATGCTGAGATTACAGGCAAGCACCATACCCTGTTTTATGTGGTGCTGGGGATGGACCCAGGGTTTCATGCATGCTAGGCAAGCATTCTACAAAGTAAGCTGTGTCTTTAGCCCAAGAACCATAATTTATAAGATCCAAATTCTTGTTCAGTTCTGTTTGATGACAAAGGAATTTAATACTCAAAGAAAGCTGAACATTGGGGGCAAGTAGTCAGGATTTCGCCTGTGTAACTCCTTCACTCCAGGGGATTTTTGGACAGAATCCCAATCAGTTGCAACTCCCTCCTGCGTCCCCAGGGTTGAAGAGGCAAACCAAGGAGCCCCAAACTTCAGTCTTGCCTGACCTTTGACAAGGATGACCACCAGCAGCACGGAGAAGACAGTGAGGAAGAACACCTGCAGCAGCCAGGGGACATGGCTGTGGCTCAGACACCCTGTGGGAGTGAAGGATGGGATTTCAGCACCTCAGTTTTCCTGAATCAACCTGGCCACAGACAGGCCAGCCTCCAGCCTCATTCTTCTAGGGTATATGATCCCAGATCCCAGCCTCTACCTTTCCCAAGTCCAGGTCCCAGATTCAGGATCTGAGCTTCCAACTCAGAACCCTAGTAGCCAGAGTCCCAACACTACCTCCCCAGGAACGCAAGCTTTTGCTGGGAGCTGTTGACGCCCCCGCCCGGCCCCAGCTTCTCTCCCTCTGCTTTACCTGCAAAGCTATTGAATCCAGAATTCGGTTGGAATCCAAAGCTTTTTATGGAGTATCTGGTGCCATTGGTTATCAGCTGTTCCTCATCTGGGTGGACAGAACATTAGTCAATGCCTGGGCAGATTCAGCCCCAAGGTACCACAGTGGACCCCTCCCCATTATGCCAGGGTCCCAGCCCAGTCTTACCCAGGGGACCCAGCTGCTTCTTCCTGTTGTCTTTGGGATCATTCATGTTTCACCACTGTCCCTCAGTGTCAGGGACCACTGGGGACGCAGCTTTATTTGATACCTCCCTGAATCTATTTTTACTCAGGAAGAGAAATTGGGAAGTAGTGGGTTCTAGCACCATAAGAGCCGGGTGGCGGGGGAGGCTGAGCGTCTGGCCCATCATGACAAAAGATGCATATTCCAGGAATTTCAGAGAAGGGTGGGAAGGTTTGGGTTTCATAGCCAAAAAATCTGGTTCCTACTTCCAGTGTAGTCAATTTCTGGGATGCCAGTCATGAAACCAGTAGTTTGCAAAATCAAGCTGAGCTTTTGTCTATTCTTCACTTTTCGTGTAGACTGGAAAATGAGGCCGTAGTTTGCAAAATAAAGCTATGTTGAATGTTCTTAATTTGTGTTGGGAGTGGACTAACAAAAAATCTTCCTAGAAACACTCTCCACTTGAGGAGGATTTACAGCCTTGATCTACTAATATCCTCACTTATGGTGATTTCTTTTATTTTTTTCTCTTCTGTTTTTGAGAGGGTCTCATATAGCCCAGGCTGGCTTGAAACTTGATGTGCAGCCAAGTATGACCTTGACTCCTGATCCTCATGTCTCCACCTCCTCAGTGCTGGGATGACAGGTGTGTGGCACCATGCCCTGTTCATGCAGTGCTGGAGATGGAATCCGAGGGTTCGTGTATGCTAGGCAATCACTCAGCCTAGAGTTACATCCTTAGCCTCCAGTGCTGATCTCTATAAATGCATTAAATTGAGCAAGTTATTTGAATTTCATTATTTTTTCTCTAGTGCCCTTGAAATTTTTAGACAGTTTCTTATTTTATTTTATTTTATTTTTTTTGTTTTTGTATTTTTGGTTTTTTTTGAAACAGGGTCTCCTGTAGCTCCAGCTGTCTTGGAACTCACTATGTAGACCAGGCTGGCCTTGAACTCACAGAGATCTCCCTGCCTCTGCCTCCCAAGTGCTGGGACTATAGACATGTACCACCGCTCCCGGTTGACAGTTTCTTTTTTAAAAAAAAACTTTTATTATTTTTAAGGCTGTGCTACATGAGTATTGTCTTTACATTCTTTCCACACTTCCCAGTCCCCCGCCACCATCTCCCACATCCCCCGGCTCCCTCTCAATTTCACGTCTTCTTTTTAGATTGTTATTGTTACAGATATATCCATTTATAAGTACACACATAACGTACTGCATCCATTTACTGGTGCTCATGGATACCTCTGTTTAGGGCTGTCCATTTGGGATTAGACAACCTCTCAGGGAGCTAATCCCTGGAGAAAACTGATTCTCCCTCCCTCAGCATCCATTGGTTGCCCAGAGTTCTTCATCTTGAAGTGGGACCCTGACATTCCCCCCATCCATCTTAGCATGCCTACTGGTTTTGTCACCATGCAGGTCTCCTTCGACTACCATACTGTGGGGATTCCATTGTTGCATTCCCTATCATGTCTAGCATGCACTAACTCGCAGTGGTGTCTTGTCCCTCGGGCTCTTACTTTCTTCTGCCTCCTCGTCCACCATGTTCCCTGAGCCTTAAGTGTAGAGGTTGCACTGTATGTGTCATTTAGGGGTGGGCATCTTACAATCACTTCTCTGCATTTGACTAGTTGTTTGTTTATTTATTTATTTATTTATTTATTTATTTATTTATTTAGTCCTTTTTGAGACAGGGTTTCCCTGCAGCCCCAGCTGACCTGGAACTCACTATGTAGACCAAGCTGGCCTCAATTTCACAAAGATCCGGCTGTCTGTGCCTTCGAGTACTGGGATCAAGGGATGGACCCCCATGACCAGTCTTATTTATTTGTTTATTTATTTATTTTTATGTGTATGAGTGTGTTGTCTGCATGTGTGTAAGTGCACCCATGTCATGCAAAGTCCATGGCGTTGCAGATAGTTGTTAGCCACTGTGTGTGCTGGGACCTGAACCTGCATCTTCTGTGAGAGCAGCCAGTGCTCTTAGCCTCTATGCCGTTTCTCTAGCCCCAATAGTTTCTTAATTGTACAAATATGTCCTGATGGCACATTCCCCACTTTTTGTTACTTTCCCATGTTGCTAACCCTTCTTTCCAACCCACCCCCCTACTTTCATGTCTTTTTGTGTGTGCAAGTCTTTTTTTTTTTAATTAAAAAATTTATTTGTGCTGGGCGCGGTAGCACACACCTTTAGTCCCAGGATTCAGGGGGTAGAGGCAAGGGACTCTTTGTGAGTTCAAGGCCAGCCTGGTCTACATAGTGAGTTCCAGGCCACCTGGGGCTACAGGGAGACCCTGTTTCAAAAAGATCCCCAAAATTATTTGTTTATTTTTGTTTTATGTGTATGAATGTTTAGCCTGCATGTATGTAAGTGCACCCGTGTGTGCAAAGCCCACAGAGGACACAAGAGGGCATCAGATCCCCTGAAAATGTTCTGTTCTGATCTTTTTTAATGCAATTTTTTTTATTTTTGAGGATTTCGTATTATATTTGCATTATTTCCATGTCTCCCTCTTTTCCAAGTCCTTCTGTCTCCCCCACTCCCTCTCAAATGCATGATCTCTAATTATAGCTGCTATGATTCTTTAAAAAGAGCTTTCTATGCCTTTCAAATATGATTTTTCTCCTTTTTCCACGCCTAGAATCCATAGATTTGTCTTTTAAAATCATTATTATTTTTGTATATGAGTGTATGTAGGTGCACCTGTGTCATGCAATGCCTATGGAGGTCAGAAGAGGAAATTGGATTCCCACCACACTGGGGTTACAGACAGTTGTTAGCCACCATGTGGGTGCTGGGAATCTAACCTGGGTCCTCTGCAATAGCACTCAGTGCTCTTAACTGCTTAGCCATCTCTCCAGCCCCCAGATTTGATCTTTTAATAGTGTCACATACATCTTGGAATTCCACTCAGACCTTATTTCATCTGTGTTTTGTTGGGAGTATTCCAGTTCCTTAATGGAATTATCTTAATTTTAATTTTTCAAAATTTATTTATTGTTATTTATTTATTTTCATTTTTTGAGGCATGGTCTCCCTGTAGCCCCAGCTGGCCTGGAACTTGCTATGTAGACCAGGCTGGTCTCAGTCTTACAGAGCTCTGCCTGCCTCTGCCTCCCGAGTGCTGGAATTAAAGATGTGCGCCACTGTGCCTAGCTTATTTTTATTTTTAAATTTTTATTTATTTGTATTTTTATGTGTATGAGTGTTTGGCCATCATGATTGTAAATGTACCACATATGTGGAGTGCTCATGGAGACCAGAAGAGGGAGGGTGTCGGACACCCTGGAACGGGAGTTACAGATGGTTGTTAACTACCATGTGGGTGCTGGGCATTGAACCTGGGTCCTCTGCAAGAGCAGCCAGTGGTCTTAAGCACTGAGCATCTCTCTAACCCCCTCCATCTTGTCTTAAAGCTCAGACATTCTGTCTTCTTGATCCATTCTATTGGTGAGACATTCCACAGAGATTTTTGACATTTTTCAGTTTCTCCCTTTCTTGAATTCCTCTTTCAGATCTCACACAGACTTTCTTATTTCATCTAGCTGTTTGCGTTCTTTTTCAGGAGCTTATTTCCACTTTGATTTCTCTTTAAAAATATATTATTATTATTATTACTTGTCTTTTTTTTTGAGACAGGGTCTCTCTGTAGCCCCAGCTGGCCTGGAACTCATTATGTGGACCAGGTTGGCCTTGAACTTGCAGAGATCTACCTGTCTCTGCCTCCTGAGTGCTGAGATTAAAGGCGTGAACCACCACACCTGGCTTATTTATTACTTTTATGTGTCCATGTATTGCCTGCATGTACGTAAGTGCACCTGTGTCCTGCAATGCCTGTAGAGGAGAGAAGAGGTCATCAGATCCCCTGGAACTGGAGTAACAAACAGTTGTTAGCTCCCATGTGGGTGCTGGGATTCGAACCTGGGTCTTCTTCAAGAACAGCCAGTGTTCTTAACTGCTGAGCCATCTCTCCAGTCCCCTGCACTTGATTTCTCTGAGTGTATTTATAATCATTCTGTTGAAGTCTCTGTCTGGGATTTCATCTAACTCCTGCTTACTGGATGGCATTACCCATTACCATAGGATCAGTACTTTTTCTTTTCTTTTTCTCCTTGTAGCCCTGGCTGATGTGGAACTCCCTGTGTAGACCAGATTAGCCTTGAACTCATAGAGTTCTGCCTGCCTCTGCCTCCCAAGTGCTGGCATTAAAAAGCATGTGCCACTGTGCCTGACTCATTTTTCATGTTTCTTATTTTAGTGCATAGGGATTTACACATCTGGTATTATCTGTTTGTTTCTTTTTAAATTTTAATTAGCTACATTCTTTTTCAGTTGAAAAGTTTGTAATGTTCAAATGGGATTTGAATGTGGTAGACTTAGGTGTGTAGTTTAGAAAATAGTTCCTCAGCCCAGGACTCAGGGTGCCTGTATAAACTCTATATAATTTCCCAAGTAAAACATTTAAAAAAAAATTTTAAAAATTGATTTTTGTGACTTTTCATATAATATATTTTGATCTTATTTAGATCCCCTCCCCATCTACACCTCCTCTTACTACCCCCTGCCCAATTTAATGGAGTTTAGTGTATATACTAAGGCCTATAGCGTCGAATTTGTGTCCCCAAATGTCTTTCAGTATGGGTCCATCCACTGGAGCATGGTTAATGAACCAAGTGTTCCATGCTTGAAAGAGACTGTCCCTGCCCCTCCCAACAGCCATTGGTTGCCAATAGTTCCTCAGGTAGGGCTGGGGCTTCTTACCCACCAAGCAGAATATGAACTGGGAGGACAACCATAGCTGCTGGACGTTACTTGCACATGTCGTACCAGTCAATCATCTATAATGCTCCCTGTGACTGAAATAGCTGCTGGAGGATAAACAACCAAGTACAGTATGGTGGTGCTCAGATTTTAGTTAATAAAATTATGAGTAGGGGGTAAACAGGGCTGGTGAGAACAGCGTGTTAGATTGATGTGCAAGTATCTGAACACTTGGTCCCAGGATGGTAGCACTGTTTGTG